TAAAATAATATTATAAACGGTTCGGTCTGGATATCTGTTCTTCAAAAGTTTAGGAACCGTTCGGTTCCTAAGTTTTTAAAGACTCACCCCGTTCCGTTTGGGTTTTCTAAAATTAGGACCCGTCCCTAACCCGTTCCGAAACTATATTACCCGATTCACCCACGATTCTACCTGTTTGCCCTGCCCTACCTCAAACTCTTTGTGTAATTGTGTGTTATGGAAATCTGTCTGCCGTAGTCCAACCAGTGTTTCCACAGACGTTGAAGCTCAATGCCTCAACACCTAGGATTTTGAGTATGCGATTAAATCCACGTAGACTACTCAAATTTATCTAGAAAAATATGAAAATGATGCTAAAAGATTATAAAGAAAATTTAATAAACTGGATTAATTCATAAGCGCATGTTGCGCAGTCGCACACTCCATTTAATCAAAGCTAGGACTAATCTTGGGGTAAATTCTTAGTGTATAAATCTGAGGTGAAAATATTTAAGAGAGTTAGATCGGATAGAAGCGGCGAGAATATTTTATTTAATGATTTTGTGAATTTTAGAAGGGCTATGCACCTGTTTTTAAATATCTGAAATTGTGCGGGTGCTTAGCTAAATTTTTATTACCTATCTCATTGAGTGAAAATGAGTTTTATAATTCTTGGCTACTTTTTCATAAACTGAAACAGTGGAGCATATATATATATATATATATATATATATATATATATATATATATATATATATATATGTTTCTTAAATTGAAGAAATAATGTGCTAATGTATGTGCAATATTTTAAGCTATGTTATTGCTGATATTAATATGATCGTTTTTGGAGAATGTGTACACACTAAATGATGCATGTATATGATTATCTGTTTATACAATATTGAAACAAAAATACTGAATTTTTTGAAAAATGTGTTTCCTTTGAAAATTGAACACAAGACTATTGCGCCGTATAGTGATTGTGATCCATTAAAAGAAAATAATTCTTTTAATAATGAACCTTCTCTTTTGAGAAGAAGTAAGAGGCCAAGGATAGAGATATCTTTTGAAAATGATTTTTATACATATCTTACTAATGATGAATTTTGACTGATGCACAAGCTATTTCTTATAAATAAATAAAAATTGACTTGAGGACATACAAACTTAAATTGACTCACTTTACAATCTTTTTCATCAAGTGGATGTTAAAATTGTGTTTTTAAAGGGTGAGCTAGAGAAAGAAATTTATATGGTGCAATCGGAGGGTCATGTGGTTAGTGGTCAGGAATAGAAAGTGTGTAAGTTGATCAAATCTTTATATGTTTTGAAACAAGCTCCAAAACAATGGAATGAAAAATTAGAGAAAGTGTTATTTTCTTATGGTTTTACCTCACTAGTGTGTATGCACTAAATGTAATATGGTGTGTGCATTATTATTTATTTGCTTGTATGTGGATGATATGTTAATTTTTTAGTAGCAACCTTGAGCTAAAAAATAATGAGAAAATCCTTTTTGAAAGACGTGGGGGAAGCAAAAGTCATTTTGGGTATTAAAGTCATAAGGAAGGATGATGTTATTATACTATCTCAAAAGCATTATTATGGTGAAAAACTTCTAAAGAGGTTTGGACATTTCGATGTCACCCCTGTGAGTACCCTTATGACTCTCATATATATTAAAAAATAGAGGTGATCTCGAGGCTCAATATGAGTATCCCCAAATTATTGAATGTTTATTAAATATGATGAATTATACGAGGAATGACATAGTTTATATTGTCGGAAGATTGAGCCAATATACTAATAAGCCAAGTGGGGATTATTTGACTGTGTTGAGGCGGTTATTGAGATACTTGAGAAGTACCATTAATTATGGTATATTTGATTGAGATTATCCGTTGTAATATATTAATACAAAGATGATACCTTCTATTGAGAAATATCCATTGTAGAGCAGTACAATGATGGTATACATTTTGTTTAGAATTATTCGATGTACTAGAGGGTCGCATCGATGTCATATATTATTGAGATTTATCCGTTGTATTTCCGGGATACAACAACGATATCTGAGTCGACTCGCATGAGATAAATTAAAATAGTGGATATCCATTCACCCTTAAAAGTGGTGCAATGATGTTTGAGAATGAAATTATTTCCATTAATTTTGTGAAGACAGAGAGAATTGGCTACTCTTTGACAGAATCCCTAGAACGAAAAATCATAACTGAAACATCGAAGAAAATGGGACTAGTGTCATTTTGATACAAATGGGGATGGGAACCCAACTTGTGTGATTGGAGATCCCATGAAACAAGTTCAAATGGGTAATAACAAGTTTTCCATTTAGTTTTGCTAGCCTAACTTAAATAGTTCATTTCCATGATGTAAGATATAGGCTAGAAACTGCATTCTTTGAGAGGGTGAGCTATACGAAGTATGACAAAACTTCTAGAGCACTCATGAATACCAAGCACGCGCATGGCCTTACGGCACACAACGGTGTAATAATAAGAAATTGTGCGGGGAGAGACACGACCGTTAAGACCCTGATTTACCAATAATAGCTTGTTGGTTTCAAGAAACTATACGTTTCACCATAAGCTCGGTTTATTAAGACTTAATCGTCTCGGTTTGATTTCAAGTCTACGGACACCAAACTTAAAGTCTCATTCCTTTAATCCGGCGGAAATTTTCTAAACTATATTCCAAAGTCCAAAAATTATTCGTTTGTAATGTGTGGGGGATGATTGGAAATATTGAGAGTATTTCAAATGAATAGTACTTTATCAAAAAAATTCGTAAATTAAATACTTTGATATATTCTATTAAAATATTATTAAGTGAATGTGAATTGAATATTTCAAAATAATAAAGTTATGCATTGATTCGGTCCACTGAATATACTAACGGCTTAGACATTTGGCTTAAGGAATTTTCAACATGAGAGTTTTTTAATAATCTCAACGTTATTATATTCTTTAATAAAAACATCAATAGCTGGCTCGGCCGTTTCGAATCTGGTGTAGGCCAGCAACGTTCCATCTCTGTGTGTATTTATATATATGTACATACGGCCACCTGAAGGCTGTTTTGGAAGTGAACCGTTGTACTTGAGTTAGGAGTATATATATACGTACACGGTACACTCCATGTAGTTCGAAGCGTCGTAGAGGCAGCTCCCTGGGATTTACATATTCATATTAAAATTTACAAACAAAATAAAACTCCCTCACATAACATCTCTGTTGGATTAAATTTATTTTTGGTTCTCGTTGTTCTGGTAGCGGCTTACGTCGAAGAGCTCGTTATATCTTGGAAAAAGGTTTTCGCTAGTCGGAAATACTTTCTTGAAGACATCGTCTGACGTGTCTCGGGCTACATTATATATTAACTTTATATTTCTATTTATTATACTTATTGTCCAAAGAATAGCATGTTAACTTACTCACTAAAGGTTGAATATAATAACCTACAGCTTGAAGAGCCTTGAGTTTCAAAAACATGCATCGGTGAGTTGGATGCCTTGAGTTTCACCAGAGATCGATTCCTATCCAGGACAGAGTTTTGCAAAAGGCTAGATTCCAGATTGTTTCGGGTTTTCCGGTTACCGAGCAGTCCGGGTTATGCCCGGATCAGAGTGAGTTGCTGGGTTTTCCCGGTTTTAATTTAGTGGGATTTGCGGGACCATGAAAAGGGTCGGTTCACTGGTTTCTGGGTCGACCCAATCGGTCCGGTTCGGTTTATTGAACATAGATATAAACAAGATTTTTTTTTTTAATTTTTCAGTCACATGAACGTCTAAAAACAAAGCTAGTCATATTTAGGAAAACTCAAGATGTTTTAGTCATATCCCTATAAAGATACTAAGTTAGATATATTTATACTACATTTCAACCTTTCATGCAGAAAGGGTTAAATATGTGAAACATTATGGCTAGAATATATTTATAATTAGTCATGGAGTCCATAAATCATCTATTTTGTTAGGTCCCCTAGATTTTGATGACTAGGTTTTGATGATGCCACCCATGTATTAATTAGACTAAGATCACTTGATTTGTACTTTGGTTTCTGTGTGTTGTATTTCATTGTATTGAAAAAAGAAAGTACTCGAATCGAGAAAAACAAAGAAGAGTACTAAAAAGAGAAGAGAAAAGAAAAGAAAAGTACCAAAACAAAGAAATCACTCGTCCTCACATATATTCAATCACTTAAATAGCTCACTAAATCACTGACCAGTGAATTGTCCAGCTCACTGTAATCAAGTCCTTTTGTTTTCATCCTTATATTGAAAAACGGTCTCTTTCTAAGGACAAAATCCTTCACAACTATGCGTTTTGTCTATTCAAAGAGTTCAAAAAGTATTTCAAGACTATAACCTTTCACTATGTCTAAAATACTTTAGCAGTAACCTTGTTACAGCAGCCTGCTGAATGAGGCCACTGATTTTGACAAGCACATCGGTTTGTTGTTTAAACCATCTTCCATCAAACTAAAGGGTCATTACATTTGTTACTATAAAGTGTCACAATATATGAGGTCAAGACTTCCGCTGTTCATTTCAATATCTCCCAAAAGATATTGGAACTCACTCTATTGGAGGAAAAAGAGTTGATAAATTGAAAAGATTTTAAAGTCTATTCATCCCCACACCTCTAGACTTTACCACATCAGGGATGGGGGACCATCAAATTTGAGATTGAATCATATGAAGATCACTCATTCTAGTTTTTAACTTTTTATGGACCCTTATTCTATTATGATGTCTTATTATAAGAAGAATAACATTAACACTAAATTTTATGATCCTCAAATAAACATTGCATGGTGATGAATTTGGAGATTTCTTTTTTTATATACTATTGAAAAGCTGGGTGGCTAATGTCCATCAACCCCGTCAAATAGCTATGGAGATTTTGAAATGCTCCTCTCAAAGTTAAAGAAAAAGTTACACTAACTTACTACTTTAAAAAACTGCAAAATCACCTGGAAATGATCCTGCTAAAATCTCAAAGTAACTAAAACTAATTCTAAATAAAATTGAATAAAATCTAGTTATCATCAGCAAATGTAATAATCATTTGGATCCAGGAGTTTACTAAATCTTCAAAACATAAAAAAACACTCCAAATCAACTTAAATAATAACAATCGCTTTATTATAACAACAAAAATACTTAAAATAAAATAATAAGTAGCTAGAAGCCGTCAAGGTCGTCACATTAAACTCATTTTGACACGCGTCTCACTCCCTCATCATCTTCCTATGCCTTGGTCTTACTCTTGGTATCTGTACATACGAAGAAAGAAAACTGATAAGCTTTACGTTTGATATAATATGTCGCTATTTATCCACAAAAATATCCGAGAAGTGTATGCTAAGTTATCAATAGATAAATTTAGGCTAAAAGAATACACTTAACAAATAACTCACAAATAACTTCAAAAATAAATTATGAAAGAGATCTCAAAATATACTTTCTGGAATATTTTCTGGGATAAGTAGCAAATCAGCCCTCGAACTAACCAAAACAATGCAAATAACCCCTTATATAGGAGGTTCTGTCCGGACGTCGCCATTTGGGGTGGTTCCCGGTGAATATTTTTGATGAATTTTTTTGACCATCTTCTTCATTAAGTCTAGTTTACTCATACCGAATTTCAGCTAAAAATTCAACCCAAAAAGCAGTCAAATGATTTTCTGAAATATACTGCACTGTTTAATTGCGCAGTTATCTTCAAAAATTCATTTGACTACCTTCCCGATTCAATGTTTAGCTGAAATTTGGTATGGGTAAACTAGACTTAATGAATAAGATGCTCAGAAAAATTCATCAAAAATTTCCACCGGGAACCGTCCCAAATCGCGACGTCCGGGCAGAGCCTCCTATATAAAGGGTGATTTGCACTTTTTTTATTAGTTCGAGGGCTGATTTGCATAATTTCTCAATACTTTCTGAATAATTTTCCTTGATAAAGTTTTTCCCACGTGGTTTTCTTAGTGAAAAGTTTTTAATGAGACGTTCAATATAACACATCATTTTACAAATGTTATATACTCTTTTCCTTGATTGATGTTTTCCCAAAGGGTTGTTTAAACAAGGTTTTTAATAAGACATTAATAGTGCAATACTATATCCAAGAAGCTAGTAACCAGAATGGGATTCAAAAAAAAGTCCTGAAGTGATTGAGAAAAAATTTGGTAAACATATCCATAAGGTAATAGGAAGACATATTTTTTTACGTTTATTTGGTGGCTGAATTTTATGCTCCTTCCATTCGGTTAAAGTTTGTTAAGTTTGATGGTTACATGAAATAAGAAAGTAAATGTTATGTATCTACATTTGTGTCGAGGATAACGAAATGATAAGAATCACAAACTAATTATTCAAATGTCAAATATTTTGATTGAATAAGAAAAAGAAACTCAGCAAAGGTTAAAAAAGTAGTAAAAAATCAACATAAGGGAAAATCAAGAAAAAATACCTCCCACCACTCAATGACCTAGAAAACAGTTCCATGCTTTCTCCATCACTCGTTTGACCACCACTAGTGAATGAATCTCCCACATTATTAATTGCATGAGAAGATGCAGATGCCGAAAGATACTCAGTCTTTGTTGAAGATATTTCTTCTTCCCCAGGGTGCCTCCCAAGAACTATCAATCCCTCTATCTCTATTGCCACTTCTTTCATAGTCGGCCTATCATCCCTCGTCACCTTCAAACACCGGCTCGCAATCTTTGCCACTCCCATACATTGCTCAAAGTTTACATCGTTAACTATCCGATTATCCACAATTTGTGACAACCGACCATTGTTCAGAGAAGAAACAAAATAAGCCCCTAGGTTCCTATCATCCTCTGCCCTAGTAGGTGAAATTGCCTTCTCTCCTGTTAATAGCTCTGCGAGAACAACTCCGAAGCTATAAACATCGCTTTTATCTGTTAATTGGCCTGTGTGGAAATATTCTGGATCAAGATATCCAAATGTTCCTTGCACTAAAGTTGTGACTTGAGTTCGTTCAACAGGGATAAGCCTTGAAGCTCCAAAGTCACCAACTTTTGCAGTAAGCCTATCATCTAATAGTATATTTGCTGTCTTTACATCTCTGTGAATGATTGGGGGAGAAGCAGCAGAGTGTAAATATGATAGTGCTCCTGCAGATTCTGATGCCACTCTTAAACGGGCTGCCCATGAAAGATTAGACGATTGGGCCCGTGTGTGAAGATGCTCATAGAGAGTGCCATTGGTTATAAACTCATATACTAGTAATGGAACTTCTGTCTCTAAACAACAGCCGAAGAGCTTGACAACATTTCTATGGTTTATTTGTGATAGAACGACGATCTCATTGATGAATTGTTCAACTTGACTTTTCTCACAAATCTTGGACCTTTTTATGGCTATAGCTCCTCTATCATCTAATACTCCTTTGTATACGGTTCCATATCCTCCTTGACCTAAGATAGTTTTTTCATCAAAGTTGTTGGTTGCTTTCTCTATATCTTCTAGTGTGAAGATTTTCATTCTTGCATCACTTGGTCCACCTTTTCCAGCTATTTGTTGTTGTAACAATATGCCACCATTTTGATGGAAAAATTGCTCTCGGAGTCTGATAAGTCTCCTTTTCCTCGATCCCCGGTATATGAAGAAGCTTAGTACAAGCAATGCTATGACGCCAATACTAACACCTGTGTATCATAAGTTGAATTGTAATAATAAATTTAAAGACTTATCTTGAATACTACGAACTACCTCACTCTTTTCTAACCTTCCTTTTTGTTTGTCCCAAAACTTTGTTTTTCTTTTAAAGTTTATAATTTGTGAGTATTGATATTTGTCTCTTCAACGAGAGAGTATATAATATACCTATCCGCCCTTAAATCAACTCGTTGTGCATTTTAAGAAAGTAATGATCCGTGTAATTATAAAGAAAGTATTGTTGTCCGAGACATGCGAAAAAGGTAAATTTATAGAAAAAATAGGAATATCATATCGAAAATCGAAAGAACCTAGATATATTCAACAGAAATTATCTTAAATAGGAGTAAAAACATTTTGAAATTCCAAAATAAGACTATTATGTTTTTTATTCCTTGAATAAGAGTAATCTGCCAAGTTTGAAGAAAAATGTCATGTTTAAAGCATAGTAATATCAATCTTAGCAGAAATTTACTCCTATATTCAGGTAAAAAAAAATATGATAGTCATATTTCAAAATTTCAAAACTTTTTTTCTTCTATTTAGAGAATTCTCTCTAGATTCAAGGAGTCTTTGACTAGGTGTTATGCTTAATTCTCTTGAGCGTGAACATTTTTGTTCAATTGAATCGGTCAACCGTATGCTTGTGGTCTAATAGGACAAGCAATTCGTACTATTTTTGCGTGTCACTTAAAAGAAATATGAACATTATATATGATAAAATATTTGATACATGTTTGCAGATTAATATTTTGCATAATTTTGACTATATAAGGTTTAACTAATTTTTCTAATTACTCAAAATATTATTTTCAGGGAAGATCTAAAAAAGAGAATGTTATTGAGAAATAGTACGTTTTATTGTTTTTGTGAACCTTTGGAACATTAATGAATTGATTTTAATGTGGACAAAAAAATTGAAAATAATAATCCTAACTATTGAATGGTCCGTCGGTCAATAATGGTCCATGGTCGAGTATAACCTGCTATGGAATGTCACTTTAAAATAGAAATTAAGTGTATTCTATAAGTAATCTAAATTACGTTTGTTTTTCTTTTAGTAATCCCAACATCAACTTGACTTTTTTGGACGATGTAGAAAATTTATTTCAAAAACTGGAATTGTATAATATGTAAATTTAACTAAATCAGAAAGTGTATTTTGATAAATTTTTAGAACTGATTTCTTTTAGTAATCCCAACATCAACTTGACTTTTTATTTTTATTTTAAGAAAAAAATCATTTTTAATTTTTGATAAATAATTAGTTTTGGGTTTCTTTACAAATTCATGTTGTTGTACTGATTTTTAACCAAATTTGAAATGATTTAATATTTAAGGATGATTAGATTTGAGAAATTGCCCAATATAGGAGTAAACATAAACATAATTGCACAAATAGGAGTGAAACTTAAAACTTCCTTCAATAGGAGTAAACATTAATTTTGTACCCTCAATACCCCTAACCTAGTTAATTCTAAAATATGACTTATTTGATCCTAATAAAATATTAAAAAAATTCTAAAATATTTGAAAAATATATTGAAATAATAAAAATTAAAAAAAAATAAAATATTTTGGAAATAAATAAAAAATAGATAAACCCCATTAAAAAATTTAAAAAAATTATGCAGGTCTTTGCCGCAACCTCGGCCATCACCAAGCAATGTCACCTCCGATCGGCGGAAAAAATGTCATCTTATGTTAAAACTTCCATTTTTCTTTGAAAATGCCATAAAGATGGCAGTTTTGCACTTTGAAAACTGCAGTTTTTCATCATGATGGCATTTCAGAAAAATGTTGGCATTTTTTTCGTGGTCGGAGATGGTGGTGCAGGGAGGTTGTTGAGGCGGCGGCAAACACCTAGCATTTTTAATTTTTTAATGTTGGAAATGCTATTTTTAATTTTTTAGTTTTTTATTTAATATTTTTTATTTTAATAATTTTTATTTTTATTAATTTTATTTAATACGAAGTATGATTTATTTGATATATTTTTGTGGTTTTTCATTTTTTTTACAATGTTATTATAAATTAATGTTATTCCTTTTATGTTTTAATTATTAATGAAAGTTGTTGGGACTTGGGTAGGGATATACTTGTCCAAAGTTACTCCTATTCAAAACATGGTACTCCTATTTTTGCATTTTGCCTATCTTTTACTCCTATTTGGGGAATTCTCTCATTAGATTTTGAACTTTTTAATATTTAGAAAATTTATCATGTTTAATATTTTTGGACTTTCTTAATTTTAAAAGTCTAGGTTTTCATTTTTTAAATTTGAATTTGTATTTAATTTGCACTTACTTTTTTTCCTTTAAAAAATTTATATGGACCTTTTTTACTATATTTATATGTTTTATATTTTTTTACATATTTGTAATATCTTACATATTACAAAGTACGTAGTATAAAATTTGAATTTTGAAATTCATATATTTTATATTCTTTAATTCCACAAACTACCTAAAAAGGTCAATTACATTAAAAATAAATATCTATAATCATTTTTACCATTTATTTATTTGGTTATGGAAATTTTAATTTAATCTATTAGGTCTAATAAAAGTCGATATATGATAATTCAAAGGAAAAATTGAAAATAATAATTCCAACTATTGCTGGTCCGCTAACAGTAATCTCAACTATTCGTTATTTTTGTATAATCCTAACTATATGGATTGTCCGCCAATAATGGTCCATGACCGGATATTACCTGCTATAACATTTGATTTTTAATAGAAATTAAGCGTACAAATTAAAAGTTCGGATTATTTATAGGGATTACTTGCTATATCTCTTCTCATCCACTTTAGAAACTATATGAATTTATTTATAGTTGGTCACGTCGGACCATTATTGACGGAAGGTCCCTAAAGTTGGGATTATTGTGAAATAATCGATAGATGGGATTATTATGAGCGGACCGCCAATAGTTGGGATTACTACTATCAATTTTTCCCAGGTGACAACTCCGATTCCCTACTAAAAAAATAGGGTACCGTACCTACCATTCATTTGATTGGACCACACCATTTTATCATTTTTAACTTAGATTTAAATAATTCAACTGCTACATTGTCATTGGTCCATGTGGACAAAGGTATAATACCTTATGAGTACCATAGAATCTACCCTTTTTGAAGGTGACAACTCTGGTACCTTTCTAAAAACATGAGTACCGTACCTACCATTCATTTGATTGGACCACATCACTTTATCAATTTTAATTTAGATTTAAATAATTCAACTGCTACCTTTCATTGGTCTATGTGGACAAAGGTATAGTATGGACACCATAGAAACTATCTTCTTTTCCTAATTCAAATTAAATGAAAAGAGAGATCACTTACTCAAACAAATAATTAGCGCGGTATTACCGCTACTAGGTTTACGGATGCAATGGCTCTTTCCATTTTTGTTCACATGACTTTCATATCCTTTTGGGCAGCTACAAGGCGTTCCGTCTTTTTTCCCATTTCCTTCATATCCTTTTGTGCACTTACAAGTGTAGCTACCATTAGTGTCATGGCATGTTGCTTCTGGAACGCAAGGGTTATCAATAATGCACTCATCTATATCTGTAAGAAGTGGAGCATAAGTCAATAACAGCAATGAGCTAGAGAAGACTTTAGAGCACATTACAAATAACGTCTAGACCAGATTTGGATTGATTTTTTAGAGGAAGGCTAGCAAACTTGACAAGGTTATCTCCATCACCGCGAGTTGAATCGTAAAATCATTTTCTGATTTTACGAAAAATCGGCCGCAAGTTGAATGGTAAAATCGTTTTCTGATTTTATACGATGTGATAAAAATCGTATAAAATCACTTTTAAATTGGATAATAAAACCGTGAAAATCCTGATTTCATCCAACTTTACTAATGATTTTAAGAATTTGTGCTTAGTTCAAGCACAAATTAAGAATCATCACCTGCAATGGGGAGAGGAAATTGGTCAGGGTTTCCGGTGTGGGATAGTTGCAAATGAGAGAAGACAGAATATTTGTTTTAAACAACTTCGTAGATGTAGCAGGGATTCGAACCTGCCCTCCTCGCATAAAAATACTACTGAGTACTACTCCCTCCGTCCCCTTTTAAATGTCCTGTTTTACCATATTGGGATGTCCCCGTTTAATTGTCTCATACCTTATTTGGTAAACTTTGTGTGGCTCAAAATCATTCTTACTTTATTCTTACTTTATCAATTAATATCAACCACACAAACTCATTTTTCTTAAAACCCGTGCCACCATCTCCCGTCCCATTTAAAAGGGGACGGAGGGAGTATCTATTACGAGAAAATTACCTTGGGTATGACTAAGACTACGTGAGTTTCTCAATCTATGACCTAAATAGTTTTTTCCCCAAAAAAATATTTAAATTTCTAATATTTAATTAATTTCGTAATAAATAAATAAATAAATAAATTTCATTGACCCTATAAAACCCTTTAGAATATGCCTATAAAACCCTAATCTTCTATTCATTTCCAACCCTAAGCTGTAATCTTCTCTAGGCCTCCGATCCCACGACTGCCGCACGGTTGCCTGCCACCATTGCCCTGTTGCACGCCGCCTGCCGCTGTCGTCGCCTGCTCGCCGCTCAGGAGTCACGTCGCCGAGTCGCACTGGGTATGGAAGCCTCACCAATAACCTCACGCACGATGGTTGGCTCGGAGGTTGCCGGCGGCCTAACACCTGTGCAGAGATGGCCGGAGAGCCATGTGCGCCGCTGCTCTCTCAAGATCTGTTCGCCACTGCTCTCTCAAGATCTGCGCGCTGCCTCCCAGGCGCCGCCGTTCATCTTCAACCAGCCGCTGCCTCGCAGGTGCCACCCTTCGTCCCCAACCAGCTGCCGCCATCTAACTGCATAGTAGCGCTCCAACTGGCCGCCTCCGCCTCCATGGGTGAAATAGATGGCTCGCAACTAGCTCTCCCGTAGATGAATACTCCCATTAAAATTAAAATTAGGTTTGTTTTTTTTCAATGGGTTGAGACTTTAGATCCGCTACTAGCTTAGGCCCACAATTCTCTTTTTTTCTTTTCTATTTTTAAAATTTGGAGTATCTAAATATGTGGGCATTAAATATGTGAAGTGAATATGGGCATTGAACATCATAATATATACTCCGTATTATTCTGTATGACAATATATATGTTGTACATAGCAGTGAATGAATGCTTTAAAAAGATTGTTGTGCAGTGTTTATGACCGGTATTGCAGTAACACAGAGCAATATACTTAATTAGACGTAAAATAATAAAATTATTAAATTTAAAAAAAATCCTCATGCATTAAAGCCATGCATTAATTTTGTGCATTAACGGCAATATAAAATGCAGTAATTTAAATTAGACGAAATTAGTGCAAAATGCGCATATTGTAAATAAAGGTATTATCGTCAATCAACATTTAAATATAAACGAATTTTTTATTTTTTATGGATTTTTGGTCATACAAAGGTACATAAACTAGTTCGGTTATAGATTGAGAAACTCATTAAATTTTAGTCATATCCTATAAAATTTCCCCTACGGAGTATAACTATAGAATTTGGTTACTATTAAAAAAAACTATAGAATTTGCTTTAGAAAAACAAAGGTAGTACTTAATACTAGTAGTTAATACCATACGTACCATGTTTTTAGCTGAAATTTGTTGGTTTGGTCTGATCTGAACTGATTCGAACTAGTCTGATCAGGTAAATATGTGGTCACTGTGTTATTTATAACTATCAAAATCTAGTCTGGTCTAGTTTGTTCTGAACTGGTCTGGTCTGAGACTCAAAATCTATAAACTAATGCTTAAATATACATTCCACTCGTATATTTATTGTGAAATTTCCTTATTAAAAATAATTATTTGACTTACTTAAACTTGTAATAGTTTGACATATTCATGTTAAATTGTAAGTTTTCTTTTATATTATATTTTTATATTCTTTTATATAATTATTTAATAAAATCTTAGATATTTTTTAATTATTTAATAAAATCTTAAATATTTTTTAATTATTTAATAAAATCTTAATGATTCAATTTTGTGATTCCATTTCTAAATACTCATTCCGATTCGATTTGAAAATACGGTCTTTAACAACCTTGCTTAATAATTTCATACCTGCACATTTGGGTAAATGGAGACCGAGCTACATATTTATTGTCCATCGGTTAAAGAGTTGCACTTTTTCTTATATTACATCAATTACCATGAATTATTACTCTGTATGATGATGATGCCAGCACGTCTAAGTAATAGAAGCTGAAGAAAATAGAGTATGTACGTTGTAAGGATGTTTTTACATATACTCCATCCGTCCCATTTTACCTGTCCTACTTTCCTTTTTGGTCTGTTCCAAAATAAGTGTCTACTTTCCTCTTTCGGAAAGAAATATGTGGTCTACACCATTTCACTTTATTATACTCAAACCTCAACCACAACTTTTACTTTTTCAACCACTTCATTAATAACCGTGTCAAGTCAAACTAAGACACATAAAATGGGACGGAGGTAGTACTCTTTTTAGTCCCATGTCAGACTTAAACAGGCCAGACTAGATCAGATGGGACTTAAACAGAGCAGACCAGACTCCCGTAATTATAAAACACTTAGAGATCAGTCATTTATCAGACCAGATCAGACCAGTCTTAAACAGATCAGACCAACAAATTTTAGTCCAAGTAAAAACATTCTAACACCTTGGCTTAATGAATCCATGATGGAATAGAACCCTGTCCTAAATTTTAGTCCAAGTAAAAACATGCTAACACAATTTTTTTTATCAATGTTAAAGTTAAATTGTTTCTAATGATAATTAAATCGACTTCATTAATTAAATTAAAATTACTGTAAAAATCTAGTCCTATATTGGCACTTTTCAAATAAATAAATGGTAGTTTTTATGGTACTCATAAGGTACTATACTTTTGTGCACATGGACGGATGGACCAATGAAAAGATAGTAGTTGAATTATTTAAATCTAAATTAAAATTGATAAAGTGATGTAGTCCAATCAAATGAATGTTAGATACAGTACCCCTGTTTTTAAAAAGGTATCGGAGTTGTGACCTACTTGTAAATAAATAAGACGAGGAAATGCTTACTATTGCAACCGATGTATGGGTTGCCGTCATAGCCGTGTTGGCATTTACAATGGTACCCATTCATGAAGTCCGACCCGGAGCACTCCGTGTTTCGGCCGCAAACGTATCCGGGTTCCGCAGCAGCACTTTCACAAGTCTGATTCGCATGCCCGACCGCCCAATCGATGACCATTGGCGCCCTATCAAACCTGAGATGTCTAAGATCATCCGGACTGAAAGTATACCACCCAGTTTTCGCCAGAAAGGAATAGGTGCAGTTGTTGAATTTCCAGATTTCCCGATCGAAATGGAAAGAAGTGGCCTCGGCAAACAATTCATACAACCTGAGCCCCGCCGGAATATCAAGCTGGCAACACCCAAACCCAGAACAGTTCCCGGCATCCTTCATTTCCGGACCATTGTCACATTTCAGCTGGCAACCACTTCCTAAGTAAAAGTCGGAGACGGAGGCGTTGGCGTTGGCGTAGTAGATCCCACGCCCATTGCAGCCCACGGTGAAGAACTTGTTTGCATCCCTTCGAATGGTGGAGGAATCTACTAGACCAAATCCCACCGCAGTATCTGTGGATGCCCGTCCGCCGGATTCATTGTAACAGTCGCGCGATACAGGCATCATGATTTCCACCTGCCCTTCCTTGTAACTGATGTATGTGCACCGGACATGAGTGTCGGGTGGGCCAATACCAGCCCATAACTTTGAGTCACTGTCGCATGTGAGATTAAAACCTTCTACATTATTCAGGTAACATGACTTTTCCCCGAAGCCGAACGGATAGGGTACCGTAACATTCCCGCACTTGTCCTGGCACCCAGGCAGAGCTACTCTAGATTCGGTCTCCGCCCCGCCGCTCGCCGCCGTGCCGAATCCAATCGCCACCAACAACGCCGCAGCCAACTTCATTACCACCCCACTCCTCATTTTCAGTTTTGCCACTATGCCGGGGTCATGATCAGAGAAGCTCGCTGGCAAGAATATTTGATCTCAGCTAAAAAGCAAATTGCTTGTACTTGCTCTCTCTCTCTCTCTCTTTGATCATTGTCCTTCTCCACTCACATGCACTTCCCTAGGTAAATAATTGATCCCGTCTTCATTTTTGTTAAAATTATTTTGCATCCATGGATTAATACTAGGTACCATTTCCCAAATCCTATTTTGGGCTTAACATCTTTTTTATCAGCATTTTTAGAGGCGGTTTGACAACACTATTTTTCGGCTTATCAGTAAACATTTTCACCAAACACGTAATTTTTGCTTTCGCGCGCTGAATTGTGTAATAAGCAGAAAAAGTAAGGTTGGAGTTACTTTGCTACTTGTATTGCCTGAAATTACTGTAGATCACTATTTTAACTATTTTTACATATAATTTTTTCTTTATTTTATTAATAAAATATTTTTTCAAAATATTTTTTCTTAAATCAACAAAATCAGCCAATGCAACCAATTCAACCAGAACTTCATAAATTTCAGCAGAATCAGCCAAAACAGTCAATTTTCTCGCTACCAAACGGGATTTTAGTAAACATCCATCTTTGAATTTTGTACATTAAATTCTATAATAATCAAAATAAGTTACATTCTACTTATTGAATTGAACAAGATTATTATAGATATTTTAACTATTTTTAACTCTTTAAACAAAAATATACTCCCTTTGTTTCAGTTTGTTTGACACACCTTCCATTATTGAATGTTTCAAAATGAATGTCACACTTCCTTTATTTCCTTATTTGATAAACTAATTTATATCAAAACAGTGCAAAACAGCATCAAACAGTATACTTTAAAGTAAAATTTACTCCTCAGTAACTTTTTTTGCTTGACAAGTCAAACTATGTCATCTAGATTGAAATGGACGAATTTTTTCCCTCATAATTCAACATATTTAATTGCATCAACCATTTCAGTTATGAGTTCACTAATTTTAGCAATTCAGCCGCATAAACAAATTTCATTGTTACTTTCGGAACCCTTATTATTATATATATTGGGTTTAACTTGTATAAATATAACTATTTGTATAATTATTTTGAGATTTATTAATAACTAATAATTTTGTGACGCGCGACCGAATGAGAAAATGCCCTATATTTTTAGTGGAAAATGCTAAAGGTATCCCAATTGGTACCCCAATTTGTACCCCAGCCTATTTTTGTGGCTCACAAAAGCACTTCATTAAAGTGGGACAATTCATTTATTGAGGTGGACTTTTGTGAGCCACAAAAATAGGTTGGGATACAAATTACATTACCTAGGTTGGGATACAAATTACATTACCAATTGGAGTACCTATAACATGGTTGATTTTTAGTTGAGTTTATAGTTTCGGATGTTGGCGGCTATGTTATTGAGGTGTGCGAAATTGCACACATGCGTAATAACTTTTAATCATTGTTATAAGAATGGCCAGTAGTTCAAATAGATGCCTATTAGCAAAGAGTCAATTGAATAAACAACTTGTATGAGGTGGAGTAAAGAGTACACTATATTGTATTTGATCTTTTTAAGTACACAAATTCAGGGTTTTAATGTTAATTGAGTACATTTGTTAGATTATCACGTTAATACACCTGAGTTGGCTAACGGAATGTTGAGTAAGAAGCGTTAATGGACTAAAGTTATGACGCCGACCATCACGAAGTTAACCAAAAAGGGAAAATCGACATTCGGAGGTGGACCTACGAAGGGCATCGGCTAGCAAGGGTGCATCGACCAAGGAGAAGTCGACCTCCGGGGGACAGACATCGACCAAGGGGAAGTTGATGAAGGATGTTTTTTCTTGGACTGTAATTTGCTGGTCTGGTGTGGTCTGATCTGGTCTGGTTTGTTTTGTGTGTATTTTTATAACTATCCAAGTCTAGTCTGGTCTGGTCTGATCTGATCCGGTCTGGGACAGATTACAGTCCAAGTAAAAACATCCTAAGTGGTTGGGGGCTGGCGCCGACCTTCAAGAAGTCGACCTATTAGCATTCTGTAAGCCAACTCAGCCGTATTAACATGTTAATCCAACGGATGTACTCAATTAACACTAAAACCCCGAATTTGTGTACTTAGAAATATCAAATGCAATATAGTGTATTCTTTACTCTACCTAATACAAGTTGATGTACTCAATTGACCCTTACCTCTATAAAATAAAATCAATGTGCTCAAATCTTCAAAGAATGGGCTGGATTGTGAGGTTTGTATGAAGGAAGTATATGTTCCAGTATCCATAAGAATAATAAAGGTATTCGTTGCATTGTTTTCATTTCAACTTTCAAGGGACTTCCTTTGTCGATATAAATGAAAGGGATCCGGAACCTCTACCTTACTTTAGAGTAAGGTAGAGTGTCTTGCTTCCTCCCGGTCGTCCGATCGACAATTCAACGGTCGGAGATCTTGGGCTCCACTTTTTTGCCGATCTCGAGGTCGTGTTGGCCGCTCCCCTGCCGTCCGATGCGCAAGGCACCCTCCTAGTCGGGTAGAGGATCCCAATCCAAATGAAAGGAGTGAATGAAATTGGAAGAAAAGGTGCCTAAAGCAACAAGCATTTATTTGAAATTCACGAATCTCAAATTAAACACTTGACTTTTAACTGGACCAAATTAAAGGAGTGTTTGGGGTTGCTTAAAAAAAGCGTTTTTCAGTTTTTGACTTAAAAAAAAGTTGAAAAGAGTGTTTTCAAATGACAGCTTCTGCTTAAATTAATCACTTAAAAGCTAAAAGCTGGAAGCAGGTAGAAGGGTGCTTTAAACTGCTTCTCACTTTTTCTATTACACAAAAAGTACTTATTTTACCAAACACTACCAACTTTTACTTTTTCAAAATCACTTTTTTCTCAAACACTACCAACTTTTACTATTAATCACTTTTCCCAAAATCACTTTAAAAAATCACTTTTTTAATGTTGAAGCAATCACAAACACTCTCTAATACATAGTCCATTTATTTTGACAACATTAGGCCACCCACTCACATTGTAAGTTCTAATGTGCATACTCTCACCTCCCGTTTACTCTCCATCTAAACCCTATCATCACCTTCCTCTTTTTGGTTTCTGTCATTCACGCTTTTGTGAGAATAGATTATTAATACACCAAATAAGTAAAAACATAGAAGATGAACAAGACTGCAAGAGGAGAAATTGCACGAATGAACTTCGACCAATTTCTTGATTTCCTTGGTTGGGCTTATTCTTATGGTCACGATTTTTAATCAATCCTTACTTCGGTCTTGGTTGGAAAAGCAAAATTTGGGTCCACCAAACAGGACTCGCCCGATTCACGATGACGGAGTTCTCCCCAACGACCTAGGATTTGAGCGAGGTACAGATTCTTAGTAGTGACGCGAGGAGCGTAATATACAAAGGGGCTCTGTTGTGTAGGGGCAGTGTGGCGGTGAAGCTATTCTCAGAGAAGTTCTTCGCCTCTGGCGGCAATGGTTGTAGACAATCCACCGGCATCAAATAAGTTCTTCACCTCATAGAAATTATGCCATTGACGGTAACGTAATTGAGCAGAGCTTCAAACCCCACTGCTCCATATCAACCGGCGGCGAAACAATGTTTTCGATCTATGTCAGTGACCCACACTTGAGATTCACCTCACTAATATGACACTAACATCGGCAATGGGCAGAATTAGGATTTGATTCATATTCTGAAATTGACAAAGCCAGTAACTAGGATGCAAGAGGGACAATAGCTATTGCAGCAACTTCTGGAATTATATTTATTTGGTTTGTACCAAGGAAATACCTGATTGTTAATATTGGGATGGTCCCCTAATGTTAATGGGTGTCTAAGACTATGTTTGGCACAACTAATGGGTGTCTGAAATGAGAGTTATTGTCTAAATCAGATACTATTATCTAGAGCAGAATTTTGAAGTGTTGAACCTGAATGGATAACTGAATAGAGTAGGCCTGTTTGGCAAAAAGAGATGAAAAATACTCGGATCATATGAAATTATATTAAAGGGCATATGACTTATTAATGTAACAAAATATTTTGTATAATTATTTTCATAAAATATTTTTCATTACGAATAATTGTTTGACCTTGTCACACACTCCATATATTTGTGATGTACGTAGCAAACACAAAACAATTAAAAGTTGTAAAATGTAAAATAAACGACTAAGGCTCTGTTTGCAACCACTTGTGCTTAAATAAAACACTTTTTGGGAAAAAGTGATTAGTAGTAAAAGTTGGTAGTGTTTGGTAAAATAAGTGCTTTTTGTGTAATAGAAAAAGTAAAAAGTAGATTCTACACGAAAACCGAGGAAGTAAAAGTTGATAGTGTTTGGTAAAATAAGTGCTTTTTTCTTTTAAAAAAAGTTAAAATCACTTTTTTTAATTGATTGCAAACAAGCTCTAAACAAGTAGTGGAAATGAAATTGCAACTGTGTTGCGGCAGAAGTGGTGGCCAGAAT